GCAACCTAACCTCTCTATGCCTCAATTTCCTGATCTATGGAGAGAATGATAATGCCCACCTTCTTTGATTGTTGTGAGGATTAAATTAGTTAACATATAAAGTGCTAAAAATAATACCTGGCTCAAAGTAAGTGCCATGTACACCTTAACTGCAATTATTATAAACTGGCCTTACTTTTTAAAAGCAAAACAAGGTGAATAAAGAAGCCAAGAAGTTCCTCAAGACTCTAAGAAATAGTACTTGTGAGACCATTGCCCTATTTAAATTCTACTGGTGGTAGCAGTTTTCAATAAGCCATTTGGAAAAACTGTATTTTTTTATTTCCTTCAGCAAAATAAGTACAAATCTCCCTCTTTTTCAACAAACAACCTTCTTTGAGGTCTTCCTTTTACTTAGATTGGTTCCTTTTACACATGTTGATTTAAGACTCATATGTTTCCCCCTAGACCTATTCTTGCAATACTTGTGCTACGCAAAAAAAAATTTATACTATGAACTTATCAGTCACTGTTACACAGTTTCACTTACAAAGCATTTATAGTAAATTCTTATCAACCTTAAAATATATCATAGTCCTATAGAAAGTGACCACAATCCATCTGCATATTATTTCAAGATTTCACACTCATTAGTTCAGTCTTTGAACATCACAACCAATAGTCACTCCTATGTACAATAGGTATGTGGCTGGAAAGGATACCTGTGAAAATGCTGTTCTTTGGCTCAAAAACCTACACCCCTTCAGGCCTCCCCTGCCCACTGCCACCTACACACATACACACACGACTAGACCATAGCCCAAGCTCACGAGCATTCAAGGCATTTTCTAATCTGGCCTCAAAATGCTTTTATAGTCCAACCTCTTACTCAGGCTCTACTCACTCACTACTATCTGGTCAAACTGGTCTAGGGATCAGGCCTGAGTCTGACCAGGCCTCTGGATCCACCTGCCAATTCACAGGAAATACAGAGGACAGAGGGACACGTTGCACGGCACCACGAGACTGCTGAGGATGCAATCAGCCAAACCCAGACCATGGGCAACTCTACAGGTCAAACGACCTTGGTTCAACAGAACAATTGTAAAGAAACACATGACCTGGGTTCTCCAACAGAAAACCTGTAAGGACAAGACAAGGATACAAGGGAACCTGTAGATTAAAAGTGGCTGAAAATACATATCCACTCAGAACATGATAAAATAGGCAAGATTAAACTCTAATGTCTAGGGATGCCCACTCACGTGATGAAACTCTGAAGAAACACAAGGGCAGTGATGACTGTGGGGATCACTGGGTGGGCACTGTGACAGGGCACGTGGCCCCAGCTTCTGGAGTGGCTGGCACAGGTCTGTTTCTTGACCTGAGTAGAGGTTACATGAGTATTTGATCTATAATTATGCACTAAGCTGTCCATTTGGCTCTGGTCTTCCTCCCACCCATGCATCTTCTCCTGTCACTTTAAACACCCCGTCCTCCACTTCTTTGCCTGATGAGACCTACCACACTCCCTCTTCCTAAACCTGTCCTGCCTCTCCTCCACCCATCCCCCAAAGGCAGAGGTAACATCTCTCTTCACTAAGCTTTGCAGCACTTGGTTTCTAAGTCTCTGGTGGCACTTGTACCTCAGAAGTTTGGGGCCATGCCTCATGGGGACAGGAAGCTAGGTCATCCCCATGGATATATGAGTACACAGTAAGCACCCAAAACTCTTTGGTGGATAGAAAAAAAATACTAGTGAGAACTTTTCATCTACTGGATATATCCTGTTATAAGATGCCCATCTTCAGCCCCAGTCCATCCTTACTCACTCCTTTGGCTTATCTGCAACCGATGTACAGGCCCTGAGTACGCACCTGGGTTAAGAACATGAGTTCTGACTCCTGGCTCTGCCTCTTATTGATCTTGTAACTAGTAACCTCTTGCATTACATACATTACTCTAAGCCTCTCTGAGCCTCAGTTTTCTCATCTGTAAAATGAGGCTAATCTTATTAAATAGGGTGGTAGAATGTTGCATGTAAAGAACTTAACCCAGTACCTGACAGTAAGAACGCAGCACACAGTCAATAATATTTATTATTACTGTTACTATTAGTATCATTAATAGGAAAGGTACCTCCATCATCAGGCACTGAGACTCTAGCCAAGTGAAGTAAAAAAATATAATAAAACCCGGTAAGAGACATGTTTACTAAATGCCATACAAACTGTGAAAAGTACAAAACTCAGTGCATTTGTCGTTCCTTTGGTCTTCATCATACAGAGCCAACATTTTTTTATTCAAGTGAAGTTATCTGTTTGCATCTCTTTCACTCTTGCTGAGCTGTGAGCTCCTTGGGAACCAAGAATGACCATGTTCTGAACTTGTGTCCAGACTCTCCAATCCCACCCCATGACTAGCTTCACTATGTGAGCACAGACCACTTTCTTCTCTAAGGCTGGATACAGCCTCCTAATTCTTCTAACCACTGCACTTCAGGCGCTTCAAGCTCCTTGCCATCTCTGAAAGAAATCAACTCTGATCTATCTCATATCTTTAGCATTTGTTGAGAAGAAATTAATTAAATGAAGAAAGTGAATGACACCATCATCAATGGGCGCTATTTTACTGTGTGTGTGAATGTGTGTGTGGGGGGTGGGGGGAGAGAGAGAGAGAGAGAGAGAAGAAACAGAAGCTAATGCAACCCAATTTAATAAACCTGTATGGCACATGTATTTGGTGGTAGACAATGAGCAAGAACTAAGGATACAATATTTAGACTATCGAAACCAGGATTCAACACCTAGTCAGTAACATCTACGACACACGATAATCTCGGTATTCATTTGGTCCAACCCCCTTCAATGCACTGAGAAGACAGAGGCTCAGAGTCACCCAAAGAAAGCAGAGGAGAGACCAAAACTCTTTCCTACCCTGCATGCTTACACAAGTCTGTTTCAGAAGCAGATATTTTTTCCATATAATGAAGCTTTGAACCACATTCAAAATGTGTAAGGAGGACAACCAGACAAGCAGGATAAACCACTTTTGTCTCAGCTGCAGACAAACTCTGCTCCATAGGTGTGGACAAGCTGCCAAACTCACTGGGAAAGAATTAGTTTGGTCCTTGCGCAAGAAACTGCCGCTCCCACGAGTGTTACTAAGGAACAGAGCTATCCTAGTGATACCTGACTCTGTGACATCCCTGTGGGTCAGAAGAATCTGGATTGCATCAACGCTAACAAGAAATGGCAAACTAAAAGACAGCCTGCCAAACTTCAGTGAACTGGAGAGAGGCAGTGTGTACCACCAGCCAAACTGGCAGGCCAGCTTGCTTTCCAGTCGTGCTGCATTGTGGGCTTTTTCAAGCGACTCGGGATGATGGTAAATCACTCAACAGGTATTTACCGAGCAACCACAGTGTGCTGAGCACCATGGTAGGCCCTGAGGATACAAAATGACCTCATGCATTTTACTGCACCATGAGAAGAGGGGCTTTCAGGAAGGAATTCTCTCATTACTCCTCGCCTTACCCTGTGTGTCTGCCTCCTTCCCCACCAAAACGCCAGAAGAGAGCCCCTCCTCCCACCTCTCCTGTCTCTCACCTGGGTCTGTTTCCAACCTTCCTCTCAACACTCCATTAATCACCTCCCTTATCAACCTCTCCTGCTCTCGTGGCTTTTCCTATTTCCATTAAAACATTCTCAATCATCTCAATTACACGTATGTTCCCCTCTACCTCTCACTTCTCTCTCGCTGTGACTTCATAAGCTTTTGAAGGTATTATGTTTCCCTGCTCAGCTGGACTGACCCAAACATGCTCCATGCTCTCTCACCACTCAGCTTTGACTTCCTCCAATTTCGTTCTTTGCCTGATTAACTCATATCATTCATTCAGATTTGTCTCTGGGACCACCTCCTCCAGGAAGCCTCCCCTGACCTCGCAGGCTGGTTTAGGTACCTCTCCTCAGTGTGTCTACAGCATCTAAGTGAGTGCACTAAGAACATTCCTTTCTACTTGGCTTCTGTCTCCTCTAGAAGACTCTCAGTTCCCCAACGGGAGGGGTCATCTCTAGATTCTTAGTTCCTAGTGGCTACCGGGTTCTCAGTAAATGTTTGTCAGCCAAACAAGGAATGAATAAATATGAATAAAACCTAGAACAGTATGAGAAAAACAGAGAACAACAGGAACATAATGCTTTCCAGATTGAAAAACATTTTTCACATGTATCTTTTATTTGATTTTTCTAATCCTGTAAGGCAAACAGCTTTATTTTTAACCCTCTTTTCAGCTGAAGAAGCAATGATTCAAAATGATTAAGAGATCCAACCAGGTTGACTGGTTAGCTCAGTTGGTTACAGTGTGGTGCTGATAACACCAAGGTTGCTGGTTCGATCCCCGCACAGGCCATTGTGAGCTGCCCCCTCCTTAAAGAGTCAACTATGCCATTGTAGCGTGAAAGCGATGTGTAACCAATGGCCATGGCTGTTTCCCAATAAATCTTAAAAAATAAATAAATAAGAAGAAAGAAAGAAAAACTTTAAAAAGAACTTTAAAAAAAAGACATCCAACCAAGGTCATAAGAAGAACTTTAAAAAAAAGACATCCAACCAAGGTCGTGAGTGTAAGTTGTAAGGTCTGAGATTCAAATTCTGACCGCTGAACTTCACACTCCCCACTTTCTCCATTCCCTATAAGTTACTCTGTTCCTATTCAGATGCACACAATACTGTATAAACTCATCTCATCCAAACCTTATATCTGGACCCTAGTCTTCTTGCCTGGTGCCTAACCAAACTACTTACTAGAAGGAAATCTAGAAAAGGAAAAATACAGCCAGAACCTCAGAGATGCCTCTTCCTTCAGTGGGATGGATGACCATAAGTGACTGGGGGTGTTAGATACACTCCCACCAAACCTGCAAAACCTCTCAAATGTAGGGCTCATGATGAAATGGCATGGCACAGATCTGCCCTGTGACTCACTCATTCTTAAAACCAGGAAATCACCATCCTACCTGCATGGTGGAACAGCAGTGAAGGCAGCTTTTATCTAAGATCACCTTTGATAGGCAGCAACCACTGTTTGTCCGACAAGCTGTTAACACTCCCTCAGTCCCTGCCAGGCCTCACACCCCTGTTCATCCAGCCGACAGCACATGATCCATCACTCTAACTTCACTCTTGCTTGAAAACCCCTACTCGCTTATCCCACTGTCCTTCCACTGGTGTCATCTGGAAAAACTCAATGCTGGGCTAATCCAGCCATCTGCCTTCTTGGCCCCTGCCCCAAGGATGCTAAACATGGGTACAGAAAAAGCACTCAACTGCACGGACTAGCGTTCATGGACTCCAACCTCAGCTGCGGCCATCCAGCTAGCTCTCACACCCCCTTTTCAAGGCTCATTTCTTAAGAACGTTGTCTTCCTCCTTCTATTTCATCATTCCTCCCTCATTCTTCAACCCAATGCAACTGGCTTCCATCGGTATATTTTACCAGCATTCTCAAAGTTTATAACCACCTGCATATTGTACAATCCCAAGAATACCTCCCCATTATTTCACTTAACCTTTCTTTTCCATAACTCTTGACTCCCTTCTTTTTCTTAAGAGTCTCCTCTCTTGGCTTTCATGTCCCCACCCTCTTCCAGCTTTCCTACTTCCTCTCCAGCTACTGACAGGAAATCTTCTTGGAGGCCGTTCTGCCCCCACACTTCCATGCCAGTATTCTTCAGGCTCCCCCCGAAGGCCACTCTTTCCCACTCTCCCCACTCTCAGGGCAACCTCCTTCATTCTAATGGTTACAATATACGCTAATGCTTCCTTTCCTTGGTGTTTCTAGGGCTCCCAGCGATATCACCACTGAGTCTCTTCACTTGCACTTGGCCTCTGTCTCCCCTGGAAGACTGTGAGCTTCCTGAAGGCAGCGGCCATCTCTGTATTCCCAGCCACTAGTGTCTACTGGGCTCTCAGTAACTGATTCCAGCCTTGTCCTTTCTCCTAAGCGTCAGATCTCCATCTATCCAACTGCCTCTGAACTTTCTCATTGGGCACACTTAGCATGTTCAAAATAGAACTCATCATCTTCCAAAGCCCAGAACATTTCCTCTTCCTGTGTTTCCTTCCTGAATGAGTTGAAAACATCATCGACCCAGCTGCATAAACCAATTGCTGGAACTCATCCTTAGCAATTGTCTTTCCCTAACTCTCTCTATCCAATCAATTCATAAGTCCTGCCAAATTCTAAATACCTCTTCAATGTGGCCATGATAGTTTATCTCCATAACAATAGCGGGTTTGAGGAAATGAAAAAAGGTGCAGTGTAGCTGGACATAGGCTACAAGGCCGGCGATGTAAAGGCATTTAGACTTTAACTCAAAGTCTCTACTCGCCCCCACTATTTTATTTATTTATTTATTTATTTAGCTGAATCATCCTGCCACCTGTTGGCAGCTCAGCAGCAGCTCAGCTCAGGCTGTGAATCAAACCAGTGACCCTGTTGCTCAGAGCTCACACTTTTGAGTGAGCTCTTAACCAACTGAACCACTCGGCTGGCCCTCACTCGCCCCTACTCTTGATGCTGGAGGCCTGGAGCTACAAAGCATTCAATAACAATAAATTTGGGCTGCCCAAAATAAGATTTTATGCAGTTCGAGGCCCGGACTGAGCTGAGCTGCCGCTGAGCTGCCAAAAGGTGGCAGGATGGCTCAGCTAAAAAAACAAACAAACAAAATAAGATTTTGTAAAATAAGTAACATCAATTTCCACTGGTTATTTTGTTATTACCCAGTTAAACAATGGCGTTCTTTCACAAATAAAAACAATACCTGGCTAAATTGAAAACTGGCTCTGCTCTCTTTATAAAGTCACTACAGTGACCGAAGACCTCTGATGAGTTGCAGCTGTGTGAAGTAATGCCCTAATGGGACCATAGGAGTTTGATTCTGTCACATTTGAGAAACAATGCAACATTTCATGTAAACAAGCTAAACTGGGGATGGATGTGTGGAGGGTGAAGGTTAGGGAGAAGGAAGGGTAGAGGAGTAATGAGAAATATGCCAGGCTTAATAACACATGGCGTAGCTGACAGATTATTGATTCATCATTAAAACAACACTAATATAGTTAATGAAAAGCCACAATGTAATCAGGAAGTGCCTTAAGTTAGTAAGTTAGTAGCTTCTGAGAATTCATTGTTATGGCACTTGTATTTCCCCAAAACTATAAGTAGTAAAGTCACTAAAGGAATAGTAATGTGGAGGGGATTGGGCATACCCAGTAGAAAGAGAAAAGTATATTGGCAATAATCTGCAAAGACAATTCTATAAATAGACTAAAAACCTTTGAATTGTATACTTTAAATGGGTGAATTTTATGGTTTGTGAATTATATCCCAATGAAGCTGTTTTTTAAAAAAATCTACAAAGATAACAGGAATAATAAGCAGAGTTGTAAAAATCTATAAACATATATAAATATTCAAAGAAAGAGCAGGTAATTTTCCTTGATCCTATGGAAGAATACCCAGTGGCAAAAATCACTTTTGCATTTCTCATAACAAAAATAGACAACTTGCTACTTATAACCAAAAACAAGGGGTAAAACCATTGCCAAACCCTTAGAGCAATTTGTCAATGCCTACATTTTAATGCCTGCTTTCATTCCACTGGTTTCACTATCTGAAGACTCAGTTCAGTGAGACGATAATGTTTTCACAGACACAGCAGTCACATTGGGGAGTTTCTGCCAAACTAATATCTTTTTTAGAAATTACAAAAGTATGTATCGCAAAGAGAAATACTATAATTCAGAAAAAGCACGCAAGCCTCAATCGCTAGAGAAACATCAGATAAAGAAAAGATGAATTCTGGGTCAGTGACCATTTCCTTTTCAAGACAGGGTTTCAAAGAAAAGTACAAAAGATGGATAAAAAGTAGAATGCCCAGCTCCTCACAGGCACACATGCGTTTGTGCCAGTACTTGTTGGAAAAGAAACAGGGTGCAAATTTTTTAGTCTTGTTCAAAAAATAAGTAAATTCATGCAAAGACAGAGTCCTTTCAGAATCCCTTTAAAAAGGCAGAAACCAAAGTGGAAGGCAGGTATATACTCAGAAACCGATCCACCATAATAGAAATTGATTATGCCGATCCTTTGATTTCACCCAGTTTTAGTTTATCAAGCAAAACAATTCAGCTGCTAACAAAACAAAAACCTATCCTTTAATTTCTATCCCTGGAAATAACTCATGCAGACCCAAGGAACCAAACATAACTCCCTTTTGGTTTTACAGGTTAGAACATATTGAATCCACGTGACTCAGCACTTGGGTTTCACTTAATTAAAGTTGTCTGAAACATGTTTGCTTTAATATGGCTACACATCATAAGAAACAGCCAAAGAGCCCACAGAAAGAATTAGGCAGGAAGGGTGCTGGCCTTGGAGTAAAATCGTTTAGATATAATCGCCATTCCAGGGCCTCCCAAATAAACCAATACACTCCCCACTGAAATTAAAGAGTTGCCTTTTAATCCTTACACACCTACCTTGACATGCCAGGCACGCAGTTGGTGTTCAATAAATGATTTCTGAATTACTACTAATAGCTAACATTTAGCAAGCACTAAGTACTTTACATGTATCGTAACATTTAATCATTGCAATAACCTTATCAAGTAGGTTTTTATATTATCTGAATGTCACAAATTCAGAAACTGAGGTTTAGAGAGATTAGTACTGTGTCCACATGACTCAGCTGCTGCTGGGTGGCAGAGAGAGGGCTGCAGGTCTCGAGGTTCTTAATCACTGCACACGGCAGCCTCTCTGAACCCAACTGGGCACCCACCAAAATAATCAGAGTCATCAATGAACATGTGAGGCTCCTCCAACTACAGTTTGCTTTCTCTCTCGCCTTTTCCCACCACCTGTCTCCCTGGCAGCATTGACAGTAAAAACCGTGAGATCCTTGTTACTCAAAGTGTGCTCCATGGACCTGGAACACAGGCATCAGCCTGAAGCTTGTGGGAAATGCAGAATCTTGGCCACGTCTCAGAAACAGAATCTGCTTTAACAAGATGCATATGGACATCAGTGTGAAAGGCAGTGGCTTTGATTAGCTCCAAACTGATATAGTACTTGCTTTAATGACAGGAAGAAAGGTCCGAGAAGGAAAATATGACATAAGTGTTATACTCAGTGAGAACAAAACCAGCTTGCAATGGGTGTATCAGGACCTTACTTTACCTGAATAGTGGCACACAGATAAAGGAACTACAAAAAGAAAAAAAAACCTCCCAGGGAACTGATGATAGAGGCAATAGCTGAATTTATAGGAAGGATGTCTACAGTTCTGCTCCCTTCTAAAATGTCCAAACCTGTGTCTGTAGAAGTATGTGCCATGTAGCACATAAAAATATATTTAGTCTTTGGCAAATAGTGAATCACTCCTCAGACAAAGAGTAGAGCGCTGTGGGTTGATAAAACTCAGGGTCTGTATGATAGTACCACCGTCATTCACTATCCAGGAGTTGTTTCTTATCAAGACAATTTTATCCTTTTGAATTTTAACACATTTTTTTAAGTACAATACAACACTAAAGTTAACCTAAATTTCAGTTCAAACTTCATTTAAACTTGAGCTATTTCAATATGATTTGTGGATTGCTTTTTTTAAGTGACACACCTATACTTTGAGGTCAAAAGTGGTCTCTATTCTTAGCTAAGACATGCAGGACAATAACCACCCTTTCACAAGAGGTATGAATTATACTGAGCTATGAGTCAGAATCTAAAGAAGCATTAGAGGGAGGTAATTTTTACTCAATATTTCTTACCCATTTAAACAGAACTATAAAATAACCCAATAACTCCACATATAAAAGCCATGCAGATAACTAAAAGTGGTCTTAGTAGAAGGTAAGATGTATATTTGACTCTTTTATGGCCACTTAAAAAATAAAAAGTAACATACATTTATTTCCTAGTCACAATTCTATACTTCCTGGACCTAAAAGAATGCATTGCACA